TTTGCACAATTTATAGACTCAAGTCCTCAATTCATGGACTCAAGTCCCCACTTCGCACAATTCATGGACTCAAGTCCTCAATTTGCACGATTCATGGACCCAAGTCTCCACTTTGCACAATTCATGGACTCAAGTCCTCAATTTGCACAATTTATGGACTCAAGTCCCCACTTTACACTATTCATGGACTCACGTCCTCACTTTGTATGATTCATGAACTCAAGTCCCCACTTTGCACGATTCATGGACTCAAGTCCCCACTTTGCACAATTCATGGATTCAAGTCCTGAATTTGCATGATTGATGGACTTAAAAGTCCCCACTTTGCACAATTCTCATCAACTCAACCAAAGCTCCCCAATTATCTCAAATTTTCAAGTAACTAATATGTCGTACTTACAAATGCATATTTTGACAGGACTATTTTTCCTTCTACACTGACATTCATCTTTTCTAATTCTTCATAATCACTTTGAAGACCGTAGTTGACGTAGATCAAGTCACCTTCAACAGTCTTGTTTGGGGAATATCCAAAAAACGGATAAAAATCTACTGTCTTGGTCACTCTTGGATCAGGGTATATCTAAGAAATGTTGTAATAAAAAGAATTTATTTACAACAGCTGCCATCTTGAATTCCATTATATTCACCATAGATTCGGCAAGGAACTATGGGATGCCATGGGCACAAAAAAACTTGTTTCGCAACAATATTCAATTATTCACGTGCATTTATCATTGACTGGCCGTCTGGCCTCGATGTGCAAAGGAACGGCTACCTTCAAGATTGCGCAGGGAATCCTGAAGTAGTTTTTTTATTAAACTGTACTTAACGCTATGAGCTTTTTTTCTTCTTCTTCTTCTTCTTTTTTTCTTTTTTTTTTTTTAAATTTTGAATTTTGAACCACGGAAAACCACGGAAAGAATCACATAAGGGAATTTCTCGGTACAGCCCTACATAAAATGTGTTTTTTATTACTCTGAACATCCCATAATCAGTTCTCCAAAACACAAGATGGTGACCGAAATTCAAGGGACACCGCCAGGCAATCAACACAACCTATGAGTCTCTGAAGAAAAGCTTTTCCAACAATTGTAATTTAACGCTATGGCCAACAATTGTAATTTAACGCTATGATATTTCTCTTGAGTACCTTAATTTTTCCTTCGATTTTATAGTCAACGAACCCTTGTCCATTCACTGTAATCGTRTTAGGATGGGATTCCTGTGGTTCAGACAGCAGTACTTTATACTCGGGCATTTCCACTTCGTCAAATCCATATTCCTTCCATTTCTCAGCTAAGAAGTCTGCAAGCTCTTTTTGTCTTTTTGAGCCAGCTATGTGAACTTGCGAGGAAAAGTATCTGAATAAATAGAAATGTCATTTTAACTACTGCAGACAGCTTTAATATTGACTCGCAACGCTGCAAAAATTGCGATAAACAAATAGTTAACCGAGAACGCAGTTCTATGAAGTTCTTGAGCAACATCCAGGTTCCCAAGAGCAAGATYACAGCATATTTACAGAGGTTTCAACTGTTCTATAGTTTTTATTTTTCAACGATAAAATTTCTGAAGTGGCGGGGCGTATGTACTGATAGTGCCCCTCGACTCTAGACCAATAAGAGCTGAGGAAAAATTGTTTTTAAATTAAATGTCTAATCTACACACTAAATTAGCACTATTTTAGCACTATTTGGTTTGTACTTTTTTATGATTCTAGAGTGATCGCACCCATGCAACTGTACAAACTAAATAGTTCTATGTAGTTGTATTTAGTAAATCGTGCATGCGATACGCAAATTAAATTGAATTGGTACAAATGAAGCATTCAATACCGTCTTGCTTCAGTTCCACTTTAAGTACAAATTAATACTAYTTAGATTTTGTACAGTTGCACGCTTTAAGTGCGATCACTCTAGTGTTTGAAATTGAATGTGATGAGACTTTATTGGACAAAATGTCTACATTGCAAGAYTTTGAAGTATCCTTTACCGAATGTCATGAGGTTCGGGTTTTTTTTTTTCTTTTATCAGTCTTTTACTAAGGTTATCAATAGGTATGATGTGTAAGGTTATTCGTGGTGAACATTTTGTGAAAGGTGATCCACAAGCCTAATCAAGTGATTGTCCGACTTGGATGCCAAGGCCACCCAGAGCGCCACCTTTTAACTTAACAGTTAAATATGATGTTATTTGCGTCCATATTCTATAAATATTCAGATTTTCATGTCAGTTTGTAACTAAAGAGCACTGCAAAGCTTSAAAAGWATTTGTTCATTACGTTAATTRCCGCCATGAGCGGTGGTGAGGTGGGGYCWAGGGTACGGTATCAAACTYAGGYGATTACATGAGAATGAGGTTTATAAATAAACATACTTTACGGTTATAAATTTTCATAATACATTGTGTATAAATGTTTTTGAAAACAAGACAAGCATTTTTAAAAATCTCTAATCTCTCTGAAACTAACAAACTTTTGGGAGGTTACGCAGTTACCTTCTGTCTCAGGCGACAATTGAGTGCACGGGCATGTACGTACTAGATATGTATCTGGAAACACTAGCAAAAATCATACCTTTTAGTTGATAAAGCAACTAAAAGTATTTTCTTTGTAAAAATGCATTTAATTAAAGAAATTCTGTCCCTAATTATGTATATAAATCAATATGTAGGGTAGCTGATAATTCAACTATARGTTTTTAGTTTCTCATAAAACTACAAATTATGCAATCTTTAATCGAATGAATTTGCGATCTTTTTGTTTGCGAGAAAAGTGTAAAAAATCGCATGACATTACCCATAATGCATCTGGTTTCATATAATGATATATGCTATGTTAGCGGTCTTAMAGGCTGTAAAATGAATATGATAGCCAAGGCATTATAAATGGGTTGTAAAAACGATGAAAAGTAACATCATATACGAATCAGCTATTGGTAATTTTAACTTTTTAAGGTCAAGGTTCTACCCCCAAGAGTCTAACCAACAGACCTCCAAGGTTTGGAAATTGTGGTTGACCAACATGGCGAAAGACAAATTCACGGCGTCAATCAGCGCTTTCTTTATACATTTGACACATCCAACAGAGAATGTATGTTCGCAAACTTGTAATTAGATGACTGATTTGCAGCTCTTGCGCCATCTTGAAAAGCTTTGACAGTTTTTACGAATGCAAACAACGCTTGTGACTACTGAGGCAAAATTCGCAAGTTGGCTATTAGTTYCTGTTGTTTTACTTATTTCTACAGGGAAATTAAAGGGAATAAAATCCGAATACATGACGATGCCATCAAGCACAGCGTTATGGTAGTTATAGTGTAAAATGACGCCATTGTGACTATCGCGGCGCATTTGCGGCTGAGCTCATGCAAGCTACATTTATAAATAACAACAGATGTTGGCTGGAAACGCTTCCCTTAATAGCTCGATTACAAACTGCTTAAATAAACTTATGCATACTCAATATATGGTCAGTCAGTACGTTTAGATAGTGCTAAGCTCTTCTGTGGACGATTGTACATTTTCTATTGTTAAATCTATCATATTTAGCGCTCTCATTAGGGCTGTCTTGCTTCTTTTTCACGGTTTTAAAGTGCAGTATTTTATTTTCTGATTATGCAAGTAATCCTTATAATTAAGCTCAGTCATTAACAAGCTTTTTTTCTTTTGATTGCTCTACTTTGGAACGACTCCGCCTTGACGCAGCTTTGTGTTATTCTCTACTTTTCTATCTATGTGTGTTACCACAAGGCTGTAAATACTATWCACACCTCACTATTTGTCCTTGGCTTTACCCAAATAATTAATTTGATTGCATTTTTTAATTAAACAAATACGAAAGCCTATRGAGGCAGCTTYGGAGCTGTGTGGTTAAAATGTCACCTTCACCTTCCATGTCGGATTAAAWATGCATCCAGGATCAACACAACAAGTTTTCTGAGCTTTAAAAAATAGCTATAACGACCGCTAGCTCATTAGTAACTGCAATTTGAGCTCTTTAAACATTCTTTAAATCAACTTAAGCGCGGGATGGTTACTGTTGTTATAACGTTTGCATCAATGAAATAAAATGGTGACCCTATTAAATGATAGCCCGGTTGAACGGACTGATTTCTTCTGTATTGTGTCCCCCAGAAGACGTCCGGTTCATATAATCAGAGGTCTTAAATGATTTCCTGTTATGAACTGACTTCATTGTTTACTGTTGCGAAATTGCCCGTCAAAGAAGAAAGGAAAATTTAAGCTTAAAGCTTTTTCCCTTTGCAAAATAATCTTTACCTTATAATTACAATATGASTCATATGAATATTTAGTGCAGAGGACTATTCTTCGCAATTATTTCAATCCATCAGCGCTGGAGTAGTATAACAGTGGCAGTTTCATCCACATGTCATGATCTTAATAATTTCTCTTCTCTGGCAAATCACTTATGAAGTTTAAAAGTACGAAGTTCCTTTTCGTGAYATTGCGATGAGAGTCATGAGAATCATAGCTCAAGACACCGTTACAAATCGGTTTATTGTTTCACTCAACTTTKAAACACTYTTTMCRAAACTTACCTYAGGTTTTCACCTATATTTTCTGCATCGACATTTCGCAGAAATTCCTCTTGAATTTCTTGATTTTTCTTGTCCTGTGATGTCTYAGCCACAGTAGGATTTGACTTGGAAGGAATTCGATTAAACACCAAGTAACCTACAGMAAAACCAATGARRAATACAACTATACCCACAAAAATGCCGCAAAACAGCAACTTTTTTCGATGGAATGTCCTTATCTGAGTTCCCGTCTCTAGCTGAAACTCCATTATGATGAATATTCACAAGACCGGGTTCGAAAGCGTTTGAGGTTTTGCTTGATAAAATTACACAAGTTWATCTATAATTGGAGAAATTAGTGCCTGCGGCGAACGACGTAATCTTTTGGTTTTGKTTTTATCACATTTTAATCGCTTGAAACCGGCGACTAACCAAGACCGACTCAATGTCTTATCTAGAACTTTGGCTAAAYKAAAAGKGATTTGCTGGACGAGCTCGACTTGGATATATATAATATAAACACAGTATTTWATAATTTATCAATAAGTTCAATCAAATGCCAAAGCATGGATCTTGCAAGTGACTTTTCTGAGTTTTAATCTGTAAGCTCGATGGATCCGGCTGGCGCGGTTTTTGGCACACAAAGAAAAATGAATGATATTTGAAAAGCTAGACAGARTAKSTGTATAGCCTCGGGTGTACATTGGGAAATAACCAAACATTATTACAACGCCGTCTTGATCTGATTACCGTATGAAACTCTTGAGGCGTCTATAATTAATACCATATTGTTAATCCACTATTTGTAAAAGAGGAGCTTTAAATCCCTTTTGATGTAGTGTTTTTTGGTTATTTGACGGTTAAATTAATTCTTTATTTAAACAGGGATTTAAAAAAAATTAAAAATGTGGGATTTGTTAGTGAAAAAAAAATAGAAAGAAACTAAAAAAAGAATGAGGAACGAGCTCATTTTTTTATCTCAGCACAATCAAACAAATATCTTCAACAACTTTTATTCTTCCTCAACTTGTAATGACACTCCTTCTCCATGTTAATTATACACTTTATTGACAAAACGGTTTCGGGTAAAGCTGCAATATTATCATAGCTACTGACGGAGATGAAACATGAGAATTTTGCTGAATGTTTGAACAACAACTTTTATGATTCGATGGCTTCAACCGTGTTCGATAATTAAGAGGACATACCAACAGAATTTTTTTTTTCTACACAAAAAATATTATACAATTAGATGACAATCTCAGAACGAAAAGAAAAATCTTGCGATCATACACGACTTTCAGAAAAAAGAAAAAAAAAAAGGGCTCAAAGGCCTTCCATCTGCCAAACCACTACGAAGATCGTATGTAGGTAATGTCCAGACTCTTGCAACGAACCATCAATGTTTACTATACGGAGGCAGGGCTTTGAGACCTCGTTGTTATAGAAGTGCTTCGTCCCGAGTGCCTTGGCCGGCGACCGTAACATATCGCGCCATTTTTAAAAGTCGTGAATGGTATGTAATTTCATTTATGACGGCTCTCGACCAATCAGAAATCGAGAGAATTTATTATTGTGCTAAAAACAAAAAAGCAAGATTATAAACATAACACGTCTCGTCATTGAAAAGGCCGAGCATGGGAAGGTAAAATGAGTCATTAATATTTAATATATAATATAGGTAGAGTAGAAACACAAAGACCACTAAATACTGCTAAATTACGCTAGAGTACAAACATTAAATTTGTGCAACACTTTCCGCTATTTACTACAAAATAGTGTTATTTAAATAGAAAACAATAGAATTAGCATAATTTAGCAGTTTGTACTCTACTATTGTTTTCTATTATTGTTTAACACTGCAGTAGTAGTAAGTGGTTGAAAGTTTGCACATATTCAGTGTTTGTACTCTATAACGTAAATGTAAATTGTAAATGTAAACGTATATTGTTATAAACAATTGAAAAAATGCATAACGGCGTTCCAATTTCCAAAGACTTTCTAAATAATCATCACCTCGTTCTTTACGAGGAATGCTTATAAAACTATGCATTTTCGTGAAATTATGTAATTTTAAAATTACCCAGAATTCGCTTTGGTCTAAAAGCGTTGAAGATTTCACTTTTTGAGTCTGATATTGATGGTTTTCTCTGTTTATAGTTAAAAGTGCTGGCACTAAATAATCACGTACTCGAGAAATGATTGTATACATGCTTAAACTTATATAATCCAATTTTCCGAGCATCCAAAATTACTTTTGGCATAAGTTTTGCTAATGCTTCAGCTTTGTACTTTTTTATTACCACAAGAATTTAAACGACATCTTATAGATTAATTAACTGAAGCAAAGTTCTTATGTTCTGTCTCTTTTGATTCCAAATTTTGCCACTGCATYAGCCTTGATYTSTTGAGTAGAAACTTTGCCGGTCGTCAAGAAGGGAAATGCTTTCACAGCCAGGAAATATTTTGGTGTCAAACCCAGTCCATCCGGACCTGGCGGCCAATGTTCTCTGCACCAAACTTCAAGMTCTTGAAGCTTTGATTCCTCGYCATGTGACCCTTCCTCTRWGTCTTTAAGCACGACGCATGCGCATATCTCCTCGTGAAGCCGCTCATCGGGAACACCAACTACCACAACATCTGCCACGTTTGGATGCTGCCATAGTACTTTTTCAATTTCAGCGGGAAAAATCTTTACTGTTGCTCTTTTGATAATWTCTGTCTTTCTTCCGATCACCTCGATTTTGCCATCACTGTACATGAGTCCTGTATCTCCTGTGTGAAGCCAGCCTGTTGGTGACTTKGCTTGCTTAGTCGCTTCACTGTCRCCAACGTACCGCAAAAATACCATACAATTCCGAGTACATATTTCTCCAGRTGTTCCCATGGGAACTATTTTTCCGTCTTCGTCAACAATCTTTACTTCAACTCCCGGATAKATTGACATTTTGCCAAAGTTCCCTTCTACAGCGCTTTCCTTATTCATGATCYCATTTGTGATCATAGGTGACTCTGTTGTTCCATAAGCTTGCATGATTATCGACGAAGGAAACATGGAAAAGAGTTTTGCTACAACATCTAGACTATAGCGTTGACCACCGATAACAAAAACCTTGATGTGACTCAAGTTGTATTTTAAGTGCAAATTCTCCTTGTGCATTTTGTGGATCAATGGAATGGTTATTGCACAGAATGTACATTTTTCTTTCTCCCAGATCTCGAAGATGGAGATGYTTCCTTTGTTGGAGAGAGCTATTTCGGTTGGTACGAAAACTGTGGTGATATTCCTGCCAACTGCTGCCTGGCAATAAAAGTAGCCACCCACCCAGGAAAAAGGSCGATCAATATAMCCTATATGCCAYTGTTTCTCGGGTGAAGAAACGTGACCAGGACGAAAGAAGTTCACACACGAATGCGTCGTGTGCTGAACTACTTTTGGTCTCCCTGTGCTGCCCGATGTGAACATGGCAACGATGGCGTCATCAAACTGGACTTCRCTTTGAACTTTTCGTAGTTTTCCCAGGTCTAGAGATTCRCCAGAGACGATAAGGCTTTCGTAGGTGTGGCACTGACCTTCTCCTAATTCTTCAGCAATGGAACTCATCGAGGCAAGAATCTGCTTCTCGATCTTGTTATCTGCATTGTGTTGGGTAAGTTGTCTGATTCCATCAAGCAGCTGCTTCCTTTGAGATTCTTTCATTTTTGGATCGTAAACAATCATYCTRCAATTAAGCCCCTTTAACAAGTTTACTTTGTCTTGCGTAAGGCTTCCTGGACCAAGGAGGATTGCATTTGCACCGATGCGATAAAGAGCCATCGTAAACACCATATATGGAATACTTGTCTGGCTTATTAACAGCACTCGCTGACCACGTGACAAACCAAGCTCGAGAAGAGATGCTGCCAGGTACGTGGATCTTTTGAGGGTGATACAAAGTGTTAATACTTGGACAGTAGTATATCAGGATAATTCTTATTATCTAATCATTATATATCAAAGAATTGTATATCATTCTTGGGGGATGCCATATATTCTCGGTTTGCACATGACGTCATCAGTCGAAAAAAATTCTAAAATCACAGACACACAACATTGCAGCACTGAAATACCTTGAAGAGCATGATAGAAGTTCTCTCCGAAAGTTTCAACTTTTTTGCTGTTTATTCGTTGAGTTATTCACGTTCAAAAATATGTCACGCAATACTGTCACGCGACTTGAAACACGCCAAATTAACCTCGGAAAGCCTATTAATCTTAAAACAAGTATAGCCTCAGCATTAAATTGAATTTTTAGAATTATATTGTTTGAAAACTGAAGCAAAATCATAAGTTTTGAGCTCATTTCGACACTCGGAGTTACTGTCCGCCTGGTTGGTGTACTGGACTTGTACACCATTAGGGCTTTCCCATATATTACCTTGTAAAGTAAGACCGAATTCAAACGCTTATATTTTTGGTACAAAATGGCAGTTTGACTTCAAATTTTGCATAACTGTTGGGAATTATATGTTGTTTTTGGCCTTGAACATACAAAATTCATTTCGATCTTAAAACAAAGTCTTTTGTAGGTATTTCTTGACCTGGCTAAAACGCATTGAGCCGTGATAATCCCATACATTCTTACCAATTTTCGATCGCTCGTATTTCTGTTAAAAAGCATTATTTTGGCTCAAAAGTTCGTGATGATACTTTAAATAAGATGTTCTATCGAGGACAATAATAACATTTCGCTAATTTGGCTTCTAAATAGCACTTTTAGAATGTCACGTGATTAGTGCAAACCAAGAATGGAAATAATGAAAATGGTCGATTGTTCAAAAGTGTTTTTGCTATCTGCAAGTTTCGGATGATATCAAGCTTTAAAAATCGACGTAAAATCGTTAAAAACCAGTCCACACGTACTTCCAATAAGGTAAAATTACCATATATGGCAAGTGAATTCTTTGATAGTATTATTACTAAAGGATACGASGAAAGAGCATTCTGATTGACGTTTGTACAACTGAGATATCACGGGATTTTACGTCAGATCAATCGGAAGAGAAAAAGAAACTGCTTAAAAGCAAAATCTTAAAATCAAAAAAATTCAAGAGTTACATTCTTCACCGCTCAAGAGCTACAATTGTTGCCATGGAAATGCGACTATAGTTTTTTATGCGTTTTTGAACATCTTTTAATTTTATAAGAATCAGCCCACCTGTCTCTGTATTGAGCAAGCGTCATCGTCGATCGACTCAAGTCCATGTCATACATGATAACTGCTTCAGTATCTGGAAACTGCTCAGCTCTGGAGTCCAGTAATTGATGCCACAGTCTACCTTCATATG